AAACTTTATAAAATTCATTTATTGTATTATTTGTTTTGCATTTTTTAATAATATATTTTTCTGTTTCCTAATATTCGTTCTTTCATTCTACCTAGTTGTTTTTTCACTAAAATGTACCTCTGAGTTTTTTTTCCAGAATTTGCAGAATGACGTCGAAATGCTTTGCAATAACGTTAAAGAAAGGCATGCGATATTAACCGGAAGCAGTTGATATAAACCGGAAGCAGTTGATATATACCGGAGGCAGTTGATAACGAAAGTCATATCACACGGCTAAGACAATTCATCAAATTTAATGAATAAATATATGTACAAATAAGTTTTATCAAGGGGTACGATTATACCATTATTTTCTATAAGTATATGACAAAATTGCATATCATGGCATTGTGACGTCAAATACGTTGACCCAGACATATCAACGACGTCACAATGTATGAACCGACGTTGATAAGTTTGACCCGAACTTATCACGTCATCTTCCGGTTTGCTGGTGAAACAAAGAAAACACTTGTTTCTATCATGCAAAATACGCAAATACAACCCGATAAATCGATTATCTGGTTGTCTGCATATTGATATTGTTAAATATATCAGCTGCTCGACACAATATGAAGCATTTTTGAACTCGTTCGCTGCGCTCACTCGACAAAAAGCTTCATAGTGTGGCTCGCAGCTGATATTTTACAATATCAATATGCAGACAACCTGATAATCGGTACTTATCGATCATATTATTTGCCCTCTGGGTACTTTGTGAAATCAATGAAACTTGAAATACTTTAATCGGTGAAACGTATTTCAACAATTGCAAAAAAAAACATGTCAGAGGAGATGCAATGATTATGTGCATACTGATAGGATTAAAATTTATAAAGTTCCGTACGTGTATATAGTCGTAAGGCTTTAAAGTTGTCTTCGTATGCGTTATTATTGGACCCTTGTGTCTAGTTAAATCCCCTATAAAAAAAGTTAAAAAATGTTATTTACTCTTATGACTTGTGGGGTTTTTTTTTACACTCAACAAGTTTTGTCATCCTCAGAGGTTGACAGATATGATTGAAAAAAAAACCGAATATATTATTTATAACTGGTTCAAAATACTATATTTTGTTTTTTTTTTTGTAAACTGATAGATTTGTTTGTTTGAAACTTGATTGATTGATTAATTTTTTGTTGGTTGCTTAACGTCCAGTGGCAAATAGTTCATGCGTGACGAGAACAAATTAACAATAAATGCAATGCAATAGAGAACGTAGGTCGGGTAAATTTAGATTGCCATTAGAAAACGAGAGTAAATTGGGTAGGAACTATATCCTTGCAACATGCCACCTATGTATACGGACCCCTCAAAGAGTTGTTGCAAGGGTTCTTAACGTGCAGAGAGCGTGACAATCTCTCTACACAAGGCATCGGATTTATAAACGTCCCCATTCTGACAGGAAGTGGCTGCGTACTTGTACATCCTGCACTGTCAATCGGATGTCCCACTTTGGCAAAGGTTTTTACTGTGGATTGGAAGAAGACCTGTAGTGACTATATTTCTATTCCCCAGTAACCCTTGGCCGGGGGGGAAGGGGGGGAATGGTTGAAACTTGAAAACATACGATCCGACAACATTAATTAAGTAAGTGCACTCGAATAATCCTATGTGTGATGTATATTTCATCATGCTTTCAACAATAATAACCACATTGTATCGTAAGATATGTAACACTTGCGGAAACTTTTAAAGTCTTTCCTTTGTATTATGAAAGCTTTTTAAAATCGGTATATTTTATGCGTTTTTATCTATTATCATGATTACATGCCATCCAAATAATAACATATTTAAGTTCAAAGTACGTTTTGTAAATATACAATTACCGCTCCTATTACGTTCGTTCGTCGAGATATGTTCGTTAGTCAATATCTGGTAACCCCCAGGAGAGATTAAAATTATGTGGGAAACTTTAAATGTCGATTATTTGCCTGAGACAATTTTTTGGTCACGATTACAAAGATAGTATCCCAAGGTATTACATAGGAGACGAGTTTAAACATGAAAAGTTTTTTAATGATGACTAACGATAATTAAAGAAAGGCAACAGTAGTATACCGCTGTTCGAAATTCATAAATCGATTGAGAAAAAAACAAATCCGGGTTACAAACTAAAACTGAGGGAAACACATCAAATATAAGAGGAGAACTACGACACAATAGAAACACAACATTGAAATGTAACACACACAGAAACGAACTATCATATAACAATGGCCATTTTCCTGACTTGGTACAGGACATTTTAAGAAAAAAATGGTGGATTGAACCTGGTTTTGTGGCTAGCCAAACCTCGCACTTTTATGGCAATGTTAAATATAACACTTAAATGACACTATTACATGATATGAAAGCAGTACAAATAAATGCAAGAACATTCGGGACAGAGAATTACGCAAATAAACAATACAATATAGTACATTTCGACAACGAAACAACAGAAAAACGAAGTGAACAAAACACAAAACGATAATGCAACAGATACAGAAACAAACTATACGATAACAATTGCCTTTTTCCTGACTTGGTACAGGACATTTTTTAGAAAAAAAATTGGTGGGTTGAACCTGGTTTTGTGGATAGCCAAACCTCCCGCTTTTATGGCAATTTTAAATATAAAAAATATATAGTGATAAATATTAAAATGACAACATTACATGACAGGACTACAATACAAATAAATGGGAGAACATATAGGACAGACAAACATACGAATAATAGCTAACAAAAGTTACCAGGTTTAAAATTTAATACGCAAGACGCGCGTATCGTCCACACAAGACTAACCAGACACGCTCAGATCATAAAGGTACGAAAGCCAAAACAAGTACAAAGTTGAAGAGCATTGAGGACCAAAAGTTCCAAAAAGTTGTGCCAAATACGGCTTAGGTTATATGTCTGGGATAAGAAAATCCTTAGTATTTAGAATAATTCATACTTTTGAATGGATGGGGTCTTATTTTTTATTCTTTAGATTTTATGAAATGTATCTCTATTCTTTTTTTCTGTCATTTATTCTCTTTCGTATGTTTTAGCACCCCAATATTCTCTATTCTTTAGTTTGTTGTGCCATTTATCTCTATTCTTAATTTTTTGGGCCCAGTATTCCCGTTGTTCTGTGAACCAAATTCCAGACTTGTTTTATTCTATTAGACTGAACGATGATGACAGACCGATTTGGAAGAGATAGCAAAATTTTTCTACCTTATATAAAAGATATATGACATCTAGTGTTATTTTGAAGATTTTTGTTGGCTCCATAAACCTTTTGTTATACGGATTAAACTTAACCGTATCAATCCTTATTCAAGTAATGTTCAGTATTGAAAATTAAACAAATATCAACACATATATTTTCCATGATATTGATAAAGCAAGTCTCTCATGCTGTGTAGGGTCCATAAAAACTTTCCCCGTGCTTCTGTGTATGCCCTTTACACGTTTTACATTGATACCGTCTTTATTCTTATTCTTGAGAAAATTTATCTTATGAGTACAACTTTATTTTCTCTTTTGGACAGTTTGTTTATCGAAATATTAATGCATTCAAACTGCAATATTTTTCCTATTCATACGTTATTTCCTGAAAAAAATATATAACATGTGTCTTAATGAGCCCCGTGATAGCCTTGGTTCATTTCTGTATTTAGCGGTGCATGAAATTGTAGGGCATAGTACACAGTTTTGATAGTCTCCATTGCCGGTTCAAGTTTGTCATTTATTGATTCGCAACTTACTTTCGATGTAGGTGACTCGTACTTGCAGCTATGAAAATGTGAACGCTTAATTTATGTTAAACATCTCATTATGACTTTCAGAGGAACCATCAAAAGCGATATGTCCTTGCCTTTAAGGTGTGTGATGATTTTATGTTATGAACTAATACACAATTTGACTTCTTTAGTTTTATTCAGTCGTTTCATTTCAATCCATCAACGTGTGCTAGTATTTGTCACTAAAGGTCTATATTTTGTTTAAATGTCGAAAAGGGTAAAAATAATTAATAAATATAGCGAAATAATTTATTATTTCAATTAATGAATTTCATGTATAAATTTAACCTTAAGGTAGATGGGGGTCTAAATTAAAATCCATAGAATTTTTTAATAATTTGTCAAAAAGTAGTTTTTATCATGCTTTTTACATAAATATAATAAAGGGGTATAGGTCACCGGGCTTTTTATTCACGCTACAGGTTTTTCAAAATTGCAGATTTTGTATATATTATGCATGGAAAACACAATTTTGTGTGATAAAAAGAAAAATAAACCGTAGAATTTTCAGATGAAATATGAGAAGATAGCTCTGACAATATGCTTTCAGGTAAGAAAAAGAAAAAATGGGGTTACCAGACTCTTTTTCTTGCTACATAATAAAAAAGGAAGATTCATAACACATTCAATAATAAAAGTTACTTTATCTGAGTTATCTCCCCTGATGTGGCAAAGTTGAAAAAAAATTGAATAAAACAAAAATATTCTGTTTTTCTTTTGTTGTAAAATACGGCCGTAAAATATGATTAAACACTTAATTCTCTATATCAACATGAAAAGTCTAACACATGAATCACATACTTTTCTCGAAATTTGCATATTTCATTAAAGATGTAGACCGTTTGTTATCTGCTATTTCAAAATCCAAGATGGATGATGACACACAAGCCACCTTAAGTATCAGAAAAGGTAATTTTCTTACAGCTAACGTTTTTCTTTCAGACATAGTTGCAACATAGTACAAATGTAAGTTATGTACTACAAATAGGGGTATTATGTTAATGGCACTCGATGCATTGAATAAATGAAATGAAATATGGGGTATACTTTAAAGAGATTGCATCACAACGAGACACACAGGCCATATCATTATTATGATTAATATTAATATAATATAACTACTTTTTCCAGTCGAAAATGCTTTTTTCTAGTCATATATTTTGAAACAGTTTATGCGTTCGACTTACCTGGCATATTATTCATAAAATAATCCCAAAACTCAGGTGGAAGTATGTTCAAAATGCAGTCACCAACAGATGTGTCAACTGTCCCAGTATTTGAAAGGAACATAGCCTTCGTAGAAGACATTGTATCTGGTTATAATGTACTAATGTGAACCGTGAAATATTCGTTGATGCTCTTCTTTACGTCTATTGTCTGAGATCAGTCGGTTGCTGGTGATTAGTTTGGTCTCTATTGTCTATATCCTTCCTACGAAAATGACTTGGAGGGAATCCGAAGTTATGCTATCCACAGAATGTACGCATTTCCTTTTGAGCAGACAAACATTAAACTTAAAGCTTGCACAAACTAATAGCTGAATTTCACGATAACTTTTTTTCTCTGATGTAAGGATTACTGCAAGATACTTGATTGCCTTTCTGTTAGAGAGGTTAAAATAAAAATTGTAAACTGTTAATAATATGAAAGGATATATAGAAAATGGAATTCGTCATTTGCATGTTACATCGTCCATCAATTAAATATCACTCATTATAAGAAAAATAAAGACCTAAGTTGAGCAGTTTAAAGAAACAGGGAAGATATTAAGCTAACCAACGGTCGTTGGGAAATACTGTATACACAAGCTAGGGTCACATAAGTATATAATTATGGTCACTTGTGCTATTCAGTCTTACTGAGAAGTCCATTCAGGGAGGGTGCTTGTTTGAATGTTTATTCACAGTGACGTCCGACCGGAATGGTAACATTAATCCTTTGTGCTAATTAAATTCACAATAATGCGTTTAAATGGTGTCTAGAAACTTCCTCGTTTTTTTTTTTTTTTTTTCTCTTTTGGTCCACTGTGCTCACGTGCATAGAACATATCAAATCGATAAACTGCAAAATATGTTATTGTCCTAAATGATGCTGAAATGTTTGATACTGAATGTAAGAAATTAAATCAACAGAAGCTACTTCTATGCGGTCCGGGTTTTTCTCATTGTCGAAGGTTTTACGGTGACATCTAGTTGTTAATTTCTGTGTCATTTGGTCTCTTGTGGAGAGTTGTTTCATTGGCAATGATACCACATCTTCTTTTTATTTATACTAAGATATGGCTGTCTACAGTTGAGATCAGTTATTACTTCTCCAAAATAAAATATGTCATTAGCTGTTAGGAGAACTGTACTAAAACAGTCTCTAGTACAGTTCTGATGACACCTCTGCAGACCTGCCAACTTTTGAAAATCCCCATGGGGGTTTTAGTGCGCGACCACATTTTTAAGGGTTATAATTTTTTGCGGCGTTTCTGCATGTTCTTTGTGCACTGTTTATGACTCTTGAAATAGTGTCATATCATTCTATCTTCTTTTGGTATACTAGTAGATTATACTGATGATGATCTTATAAGCCTTAATTTCTTTTATTTGCATAATTCTTGTACTTATAAGGATACAAAAATACAGACCCCTTTTTCCCTCTCCAAAGACCTTCTTTATATCTTTGCACCAAGACTCAAAAGAGCTAAACCTAAATGTCCTAACGTAAGAAGGATGAAAACAGATCTTGAGTTAGTCTATCAGTACCGGTAATGAAAAAATGGATAAAATTTGTGTTACCGGCTGGACAGATTATAACATTTAAATTAATATATAGTTTTGTTTTTATTTTTTGTATGCCATTCTGCCCTAGAAATGATTCTGGCAGCTCTACCCTAAAACTGATTTAAACTGTTGCAGACTTAAGCAGATCATCACAGTTGTATTTTTTAAATTAGATAGTATAATGTCATAATGTTCAAACTCTGTTATTAAAACTGTCCACGAAGATAAGATATGGTCACTGTAATCCAAATATGTTACTTGTGATAAACACCCCCAACGTGCGCGAAATGTTGAATATTTAATTTGTAATATATAATTACTCAATATTCATAGTATATTTCTTTAAATGCTTAAGCTTTTTCGTACACAAAAATAAAATATTTATAAACAAAGATAAATGATAGAAATAACATCCATACATAACATTATTACTTTTACTATTTCATCTTTTTTTTTATCTAAAACGTGACTTACAGTCAAAATCCAACTAACTGCCTTTAACTTCCTCATTAACTAGAACTGTTCTAACTCTATTTTGAGAACTGATCTGATTTACATCAATGTGAACCGTTATGGTAGAACTGTTCTAGCTTGATAAGGAACAGTTCTATGGTAGATTATTTGGAGAGCACTGAAGATATGTTAGAACTTATCCTAACTATTTAGCATTTATTCGTCAGCTATCAAAAAGCTTGTCGGTTCTTATGTTTTCAAAATTAATTTGCGGTAAGTAAGAAATTTGTTGATGAAATAATGTTAATAAATCCCTTAAACATGATTATTTCGCCTTTTAAGACATTTCTACTCATGACGTCATGAAACGGGTTTTAACTTTGTTTAGGAGCATACGTTCTATACACATTCATTTTGTGAATGTGACGTTAAAAGCATTATTTTAAGTTATTAGTGTACATACTGTCATTAAAACCAATATATTATTACCAAAGGTGTTGTAGTGGTTAAATGAATTTCAATTGTATTTTAAGTTAGCTAAACCTTAAACGCAAAACAAACATTCCTTAAACTACGTCAAACGCTATTTTCTGGCTTCGAAGTCACCGATCTAATTTACATAAAAAAAAAATCCATATACATTTCAACTTGCAAACAGAGTAAACAATTTTATTGATTGTGAATATGAAAAGCCATTAACTTGAAATATTTTGATACATTTCCAAAATGGATATATATGTACAAACGAAAAATAAACAAATTTTAGTTTGACATTTTCAAGCTGTTGGGTATAAGATAAATTTAATGTATAAGAATTTAAGATAATGCACATTTCTAAGTGCATTCTCGGTATGCCGACGACCTCTTTATATATTCATTCCAGACATGGGGTAATTGAAATGTGTAATTGTAATTGACCGTAATTTCTCAAGTAATTGAATGTAATGTGTAATTGAGCATTTTTTCAATTACTAGTAATTGTAAGTAAAGAACTACATAGCCAAAATTGTTTGTAATTGACAATTACTTCTCAATTACAACTCAATAACATTTGACATTTTGGCTCAGAAATATTGAACTTGTGTTTTCTCAAAAAATTATGAAAAGCTTTGACCTTAGTAAATGTAGTTAGCTGACAAAGCAAAGCCTAAACATTACACTTTCTGTAATTACACAACCATGGGAGATTCTTTATTTTGTATTGAAGGAACAAAAAATAAAAAAGAAGAAAAAAAAATGATTGTAGAAACATGCCATAATTTGTGTGTAAAAGCAATTATTAGTAAGTCATTGTCTTATACCTTAATTAGCTTGTTACCTACATGTATATTCAGATAGATATTGTTAGACATTGATTTAACATAATCAATTTTAAAGTCAATCAATAAATACAATCTCTGGCTATTTGTTTTATTATAAACTTTAGAATATAGCAAAGTGCTCTCGACCAATGAAATTGTAGGATTTGATGTCTCTTAATTGTGAAGAATGAATGTAAATCATGTTCTTGGTAAGGGATTATCCTATTATTTGGGTCTATTTACAGTTCAAAACAAAGACTTTCTATAAATGAGTTACAACTGCCCCGAAGCACATTTATCAGATTGAAAGGATTTATCACAGTGATTGAAACTAACTAAAAGTTGAATTGTGAAACAAACAAGAAAATCAAAATAAGTTGAAGTTTACTGGTGCAGTAAAATTTGTACCTTTAATGTTATTATGAAAATATTGATAACTTCAAATTACTAAAAAAATAAACAATATCAAAGCAATGCATAAAAAAAGAGAAAAAAAAAGTTTTAAAATAATAAATAACCTAAATCTTTAGCTTTCCAAAACTCTGATTACTGAACCAGCGGTTGGGAAGAATAGCTATTTCTAATATTCCGATAAAATAAAAAAATAAAAAACAGGAATTTGATTTAAGTTTTGAACAATTTAAAACTTTTAAAGTCATTTTATTAGAACATTCCCTGACATAATGAAATAGTATTTGATTTAAAAAGCCGGACCAAAATATTGGCTGTGAAATAAAATCAGTTGTAACTCAAATGTATTTATTGATTTAAACTGTTAATTAAAAAAAGATAATTCGTCACTAAAATATCACATGATTTACATTCATACTCACAATCAGGAAACATATACAATTCCTACCTTTTCTTTGTACTGTTGTGTCACCTAATGTCTAGAACGCATTTTTTAAATATTTCCCAAATAAGAAAGTCCTTACATCACTAAATCGAACCAATAAATGAAATGCTGAAAAATGAAGGCATGCATTATAAACATTTAATTTACACTGACAATGAAACTAATTCTTGAATAAAACCAATCAAGAGATCATTTGAGCCTTGAGCACTTTACAATATTCTAAGTTTGTAAGAGAATGATAATCCCTTACTTCATGATAAGTACTTGCTAACGCTCGTATTGAATCATGAAGAAAGGGATTATCATTCTCTTACATATACTTAGAATATAGCAAAGTACTTTCGACCAATGAAATTGTAGAATAGGATGCCTCTTAATTGTGAAGAATGAATGTAAATCATGTTCTTAGTAAGGGATTATCCTATTATTTGTGTCTATTCACAGTTCAAAACAAAGAGTTTCTATAAATGAGTTACAACTGCCCCGAAGCACATTTATCAGATTGAAAGGTTTTATCACACAGTGATTGAAACTGACTAAAAGTTGAATTGTGAAACAAACAAAAATCTCAAAATAAGTTGAAGTTTACTGGTGCAGTAAAATTGGTACCGTGAATTTTATTATGAAAATATTAATAACTTCAAATTACTATAAAATTAAACATTACCAAAGCAATGCAAAAAAAAAAGAAAAAAAATCTGTCAGATAAAAAATAACCTAAATCTTTAGCTTTCCAAAACTTTAATTACTTGATCAGCGGTTTGGGAGAATAGTTATTTCCAATACAATTATTCCGATAAAAAACAGGAATTAAATTTTAAACATATTAAAAACTTTTAAGGGCATTATTTTTGAGCATTTCCCTGACATAATGAAACAGTATTTGATGTAAAAAGCCGGACCAAATTATTGGTTGTGAAATAAAATTTAGTTGTAACTCTAATGTATTAATTGATTTTAAACTGTAAATAAAACAGGATAATTCCTCACTAAAATATTACATGATTTACATTCATACTCACAATCAGGAAACATACAATTCATACCTTTTTCTTTCTACTGTTGTGTCATCTAATATCTATAACGCATTTTTTTTTTAAATATTTCCCAAATGATAAGAAAGTCCTCACATCACTTAAACTTATCCATAAATGACATGCCGAAAAAGGAAGTCATGCATCAATTATAAACATTGCACTGACAATGAAACTAATTCTTGAATA